AAACCATTATTTTGTCCAGGAATGTGGTCAACATTTAATAATAAAATTCGACGTGTCTACAGATACCCGGCAACCGGGAACTGTTTTCAAAAAACTAGATAACCGGCAGTCAAAATTTCGACTAAGTTTCTCGAAATAGCTCGTTTAATTCCTCTAAGAACGTAAAATATTTGTTTAGAAATCTCAAGCGAATGCAAATATTGCCTTGGGTTGAAAGTAGAAGCGACTGTCGAGTTTGGGCATAGAGTGAAATCTCAATGTAGCGGAAACTTATCAACGAAACCTTACCAGAGTATTTAGTATTTGTTGGGAAATGCCAAGCAATTCTAAACAAAGGTTTCGTATTATTGTGGACAAATTCTCCGGGCTTGCATTTTTTATAAGCATATTCTTTACAGTCAAGCCACGTCAAGCGTACCCTCCAAGATGCCATTAATGAATTTAGGGTGCGTTCTATTGGGAAATCTGGATTTTGATTTTAAAATCCGGATATCGAATTTACAATCGAACGCGAAACTCGAAAACGGATTTCAACGCTGAGATATCTGTTTTTGGAATTTCATTTTTACCGTTCGGTTAGGAAATCCGACAGAGGATTTGAAAAACTGTCCTTAAGAACAGCGGTCTTGTACGCAAACGCATAATTAGTTAAAAGAAGACCGCTGTCCACGAGAACAGTTTTGCAAATCCTTTATTGGAGTTCTCAATCGGGGAGCAAGGGGTGGCGCAGTGGTGAGAGCGCTCGCCTCCGACCAATGTGGCCCGGGTTCAAATCCCGGCGTCGACATCATCTTTGGGTTGAGTTTGTTGTTGGTTTAATTCTCTCCTTTGCTCTGCTCCGAGTGGTTTTTTTCCGGGTACTCCGGTTTTCCCCTCTTCTCAAAAACCAACGTTTTCAAATTCCAGTTCGACCATGGATCAGGTAGACGAAGAACCACTTTGTGGATGTGCTACCTCTTAATCATTATTTATTTTATTTATTTTAATTCAGAGGAGGATCGAATAGTATCCCATGATGCATTTTTCCAGAAGCATCACGCAATATCGCAGTCATAGCAGATTCCATCTTGAAATAAGGTCGTTTTCTCGTCGGCTTTTTTCTCACTCGATTTCCAGTAAAAGTAAAAAAATTACATTATTTCGTTATTTGACATGATTTCTCCGATTTGCAATGGCTTAAGAGCGAAGTTTCCACTTAGAAACATTTATTTTCACGGTTTCAATTAGTCTTCCCATCACAAAGTGTTCAGTGACCCACAACCAGGTCATGAATATTCAAGGTTTTTTGGAATATCTGTTGAAATCTTACAAATGTGGACCTTACGCCAGCAAAATGAAGTCCTGAATATTGTACAGGCCAAGAAGTACCCAGAAGTACCCACATTTTGAAGACTTTTTTGTCCACCAAAGATGGCTGAAATTTCGAATCTTTTATCACATTTCAACGCCATGTGTCATAATAATGTGTAAAGCCTGATGAAGGCTACAATCTGTTGGGCGCTTTTGAGACCGCTTTATGCCGAAGCAATCACTTTGTATTTTCAAAGAGGTTATTTTTAAAAGGAATTTGACTAGAATTATTTTAATTCGAAGAAGGAGCGGTGTATAACGGTGTGTTTCAGTGTGAAAAGAACCCAAAGAAAGGAACCACGCAGCATGCAAGCCGGCACAACGTAAACAGGCCTGCTCAGAATTTGAAAAAGAAACATCATGCAGAAACTTTATTTATTCAAAAGAACAGATCAGTATTCTGGCCAGGAAATTTCCTTGAAGATTGCTTGAGTCAGTACCGGGTAGACTGTGCTTCAGAGAATTGTTTGTCGCATCGATAGGTTAAATTTTATTTGTAACTGCCATTGTAAACTTCAGCTCCTTTGAGCGCGATGCTGTAATAAATTATCCTTTGGTAATTAGCTTCACAGCGTAGCGGATGTTTTGTTGGAACCACTTTATAGATCAGTCATAGTTTTGGTTCTCCTCTGGCCTGGGTTCTCCTAGTGAACCTAGCGAAGCTTATCAATTGCGAGTCTTATAATTTGTGTTTACAGTGCGACCGAGCGCGGCACAAGTAGTTCTCGACAGATCAGTGAAATACATGTAAAACCCTTCTCAGTCAAAGCAACGCTGAAATTCTCCTTTAAAGCACAGTGAATATTAGCCAACTCGATAATCTCAAAAGCAGAAGCTGCTGAACCGAAACATGTTTGGAAACCATCCACATCGAGCACTGCGATCGATGTTCACTTCGCGCGTGCTGAAGGTTACTGATCATAATGTGTCACGTACACAGTGATAATATAACATGAATCGAGGTGCATCATGGGATACTATTCGATCGTCGTCTGATTTTAATTATTAACTGTAAATAGGTAATCCATGAAATCCGGATTTGGAATTCTAAATTGAATTACTAGTCGTTCATTGACTTTGAAACAGCCAGTTTTAAACTGTCATGCGGGAGAAATGACTCACAAAACTAAGTTGGGTTATAACACTGCGAAGTCGAGTTCGGGAGTTCGCGTTGCATCAAGTGAACGAAGGAAGAAAAATGGGAAGCCACTGGCAGAAAATCGGAATTTTCTTGAACAATTTATAAATATCTTGCAAGCAGTATTTTTTTTTGTACTTCTATTGCACTTTTTGGATTTCTTTATAATTATTATTTATACGGTTATCCTGTGATCGACCGCAAACTTGTAATTTGAGTATTTTTCTTTGTAAAACGCCGAAGTCGAGGTGATCGTTGCGGTTGAAGCTGGAGAAGCATGATTGAACACTGAATTTTAAGCAGCAACGTTTGCGACGACCTTAAGTCAGAATGAAGACGTTGGAAGGTAATGATGTCTTTTTCTTTGATTCAGGGTAGCTGCATTGCTGTCAGTGTTCTTGTTACTGTATCGTGCTATTAATTTTTAACAGTTTTTAGCATAGGATTAAAAGCGCTGTATTGTTTTCAATAATTATAGGGTGGGTGGGTGAGAGGGAATTTGAAAATAGACTTCTTAAGTGAGTAATACTAAATCGTTTTATTATGTATTAGTCGGGGCAAGAGCCATAATTCTTGGTTTGCAACCACGTGACAAGGCCACCATGTTGGGGTTCAAAACAAAAGAATATTTCCTCGAAGAATTTACATGAAAATAGAGTTTAGTTCACAGAGGAGAGAAATGCTTTTGTTCTTGACCACCAACATGGCCGCCGTGACGTCACGTGCAAACCAGCAATAAGACAGGTCCTATTATGATCTCTTGGTCGGGGGTGTCAGTTTCAAGCGACTGAAAACGGCACAAAATCCCAGAACACGACACTCAAAAAATACGGTAAGTTATGTTGATTCATTTTTGTTACATTATATCAACATTTGGGATCAAAAGGTGCAAAATTCTGTGGTTTATGAAGCATTTCTACCGATCACTTGCCCGCAGTCCCTCACCCACCCTAGACTACGAGTAGTGCCCATTTTTCCTCAGGGATGGTAGAGCGAGCGAAACGCGAGCTCGCGTGAAAATCACCCCACGCGAGAAAGGCGTGATTTTCACGCGTGCTTGCGTTTCGCTCGCTCTATATATTATCCCTGAGGAAAAATGGGGACAACTCGTAGTCTACACCCACTCCCGAGATCACTTGAATCAAGCCGAGCGCGGGAGTTACGAAATACAGTAAATGTATGCATGGGATCACATGTCGCGCGTGACATCAAGATCCCTCGAACAGTTGGGATGGTTCGCCTGTGGTTTGAGAGACTACCGTAAAATTCCGAAAATAAGCCCCTCCAAATGTAAGCCCCCCCCAAACAGGTAACGCGAAAAACCCTCCGTAAATCGCCCCTTCAAATAAAAAGTAAAACAAAGCAAAATACTTCCAACTATAAGGCCCAATTGATTTTGAAACGCAAATTTCCTTCGGTAGATAAGTCCCTCTAAACCTATTAAGCCCCTCAAAAAGGGCCGTTGAAAAATATAAGCCCCGAGGCTTATTTTCGGAATTTTAGGGTATTTGATCACGTTTCTGCAACACGCTCGCGTGCCGCTTGTTGTGCAGTGGTACGATTACGTAAGGACGTGAAACAGCACTTTTGATCGAAGTCTAGGAAGTTGTGGGATTCGCAATAGCTTTTCGTCGTCGGACCTGTTACCGAATATTGCATTGAAAAACAGGTAAGTCATAGTTTATTTTAAATTCAGAGTCTCCTTTTTCCTTGGAAAAGCAAAGTCATATGGTGAACCTGTTAGATGGTGCTTTTTCTTCAGAAATATACACTGTGTGTAGTCAAAATTGTTAGAAGCCGAAGCGAAAGTTTTTTCTGTCTTTCTGCAGTCAGAAATTTTGACTAATTTTCTCGAAATAGCTCGTTTAATTCCTTCAAGAACATGAGATACTTGTTTAGAAATCTCAAGCGATTGTAAATATTTTATTTTTATTTTATTTTATTAGCTTTGCCCTGAAGACTACAGAAAAAAAAACACTGAAGATATATTGCAAACACTAGTAATAAGAACGTAACAATACACTAATAATAACTTAAATATTTGGGCAGGGACACCGCAACAGCTAAAGCTACTGTTACTGCGGACCCAAATTTTGCCTTGGGTTGAAAGTAGACGCGACTGTTGACCTTGAAAAAAGAGTGAAATCTCAATGTTTTTTTATTATCAACGTCGAAATCTCACCAGAGTATTTAGTATTTGTTGGGAAATGCCAAGCGATTCTAAATAAAGGTTTCGTATTGTTGTGGACAAATTCTCCGAACTTGCATTAAGCATATTCTTTACAGTACTTTTGGCCTAACCTAGATATCACTATAGACATGGACGTCGAGTCACAACCGGATTCCAGAGACAGACAGGGGTCTCGAAGGAATCAATAAGAACTACCCGACGTTAATGCGAACTAAGTCAGCGTCTTTGGAACGTTCTGAACTCTTGCGTCTCCGAAACAAAGCTTCCAAGCCATCTCTGGCCGTTCTATCTCAGTTCAAGTCACTCGGCATTCTGAAGTACCGTGGGCAACGTGGGGCTGGAAATTCACGATCCACCTCAACCAAGAAAATCCCGGTGATGAAAGGCCGCCGTTTCGTCAAGGCTGAAGGTCGGAAAGTTGATCGGAGTAACTTAGGAAATATTCCGCTCGTCAACACAACTAGCAAAACATCCACCTCCAAATCAACGGGATTCGCTGTCCCAAAGTGTTTGTTTACGAACATTTGTAGCTTGTCGAAAACAAAGAATCGTGTACGAGCACCGGTGGCGCTTGAGGCTGACCTGAGATCTCAGGACATTGATGTTTGTGTTGTCAGCGAAACTCGTCTTTCCACCAATATGCCGGACGCCGTGGTGAATATCCCAAATTACAAGGTGTTCAGGCGGGACAGAGGTTGGGCAGACTTGGACAAAAGGAAAAAAGGGGGTGTTGCGGATGTGAGATACAGTCTTAAAGTCCTGGATGTTTACCGGTCCAATTTATACGAGTTTATTGCTTTGACAGTGCTGTTGCCGTCCGATCACATTATGCTAATTTGTGGCCTGTATAACCCTACCAAGCATAGCTACCGGTATATAGACTTGATGAACTATATAATCTTCTTTGTGGACTTTGTTTTGAACAAACACCCAGAAGCGAATATTGTTTGCGGTGGCGATGTAAATCGTCTGGACATGCAAGAATTTAAGGCTTTGTTTGGCTGGGATTTCATGGTTGATTTCCCTACGCGAGGTAACGCGTGCTTGGATAACTGTCTGACTAACCGAGCGGATCTGTCTGTTCGGTCAAGCATATTCCATACATATGCTTATTAAGACAGACCATGATGGCTTTGTTTTACCGGCGGTACTAGAACTTAAGAGCAGTTGTCTGTAAGATTCGAGCTATATTGAAAAGTCACTGCCACACTATCTCCCCGAATTGGCTAAAAATTGGCAAGTAGACTTGATTTGAGGTCTTTAATAAGGAATAGGTAACTTTAGGTTCTAATTACTTCGGCGGAGCGCGAAGTAAAGGATTCGCGACGCTCAGGAATGTATCAAAGTTGCAATTTTTTGACAAGATTGGGCAAGCAAAGTCTGTAGGTTTTCGGCTCTATTCGGCTATTTGACGAAGTGAGCGCCGAATTAGTTCGAGATGTCTAGAGATCACTTCGATTTCTTTGATTTATTCTTTAACTTTTTCGAAGAAGGAAGAATTACTATTTTGGCCTTCCCGGGGTTTGAACCAACTCACCTGTGTGACCCGTCAGATCAGAGGAGACTCTAAGTTGAGGGATTAGCCGATTGCGCTACTGCGATCCAAGGTAGTTTGGCGTTTGAAAAATAGTTATGAAATGATGCACTAGTTTCGGGACAAGTTCGTGACTTTTCGGCTTGTTTCAACTATTTCACGAAATGAGATCGGACTACTTCGTGATATCTTGAGATCACTTCGAGTTTAGTCTTTAATTAATTTAATTCGAGTGTTGAAAAACATTTCGCGAGTGAGCCCTCCTTTCGAACTGTTTTATGATGAATTTAAAGTTACAAAATGCTGCACAAAGACATTTTGTCTTTGTTGAGTGTTACGTAGTAAAATTGCTTTCATGCGTTGCGTGACTTTCTCGAACGTTCTCTACGTTTTTGGATTAGCCATGAATAATTAATTAGGGCGTGTTTACATTTCAGCATGAGTCAGCAGATTTGCATCGGTTACTGAAATCACAAAATATGTCGAAAAGCTACTACTGTTTGCCTGTTTAGTATTTTCTAGAACCTTATGTCAAACGGTATACAATTTCCAAGCGAGTTCTTTTGACGAACTAAGTTTTTTCCCACGCGCTGGACTGCTGTGTTTAGTCAAGTGTGACGAGGGTCGATTTTCAGATTCTGTGTTTACAAGTTCGCTACCCTGGTCCCAAAGGTTTTTCTTGATTTTTCTTCGCGAAAGAGATCAAGAGGAAGCCGCGAAGCGGCGACAACGAGTCGCGTGATCTCTTTCGCGAAGAAAAATCAAGAAAAACCTCTGGGACCAGGGTACAAGTTCGCGGAAGCCGTAAGATATCTGAAGCTCAAGTAAGAGTTTGTTATTATTAGTAGAGGCTGTTTAGTTTTACTCAAAGTTCAAGTCAAGTTTGTGTCGGCGGATGCTGTGTTTTAAAGTTCTGTAAAGGCTATGTTCCTTTGGTGTTAAACTTCCTTGTGTTAATCCGACATCCCTGCGTGCTGATAGTCAGTGAATAATTATCCTCAAAACATTCGACCTCGTGACTTTGAGTTTTAGCCACTTCCATGCTCAACGTAATTGACTCCTTACCCATGCCTTACATATCTTTAATCAGTACATGAGACTGCTATGCTGTTTTTGAAGCCTGATGTGAATAAGAAAAATAGAGAATTGTTTTTTAGAAGGATTTGTATCGAGTCATCAGAGCCTAACTGGGCTAATATCGCGGAGACAATTTGTCCTGAAATGCTAGTTTTGGCAAGTAGGCCTCTTGGATGTTGCTCTTTTCAGAATATCCTGACAAATCCCATAATTTCACACCTTACTCTTACCATATTTGATTTGTTACTATTCCTCCGCATTTACAATTAATTAGTTCCACAACCACGACGCCGAAGTGTACGCTAGCTCCGTAGCGTCTTGTTCTTCCTATTTCGGAATTATCGACATGGCCGGTTTAAGGGTGTCTCGGACTGGCGCCATATTGGTTAATAGAAGCTGCTTTTGAGCCTTCAACTACAACCCTGTCTTCAAAGCTAATCTTTCTTTGCCGATACACATTGAAAGAACAATCCCTCTTTACTGTATTTTTACAAACTACTTCGAAATTGATAACGTTTTCGCAACGATCGATTAAACTTTTGGTGGGTATACTTTTTGAATTTTTTACACCCGCAAAATTAACAGAATTTTAATGGCATATATCTCTTTTGCCACATCGCATTGAAGCTTGCCACTCTGCCTGAATACTCATTGTTTGTAGTTAAATCGAGTTCGTTAATAAAAAATTGGGCAAATTTAACGGAGCAGAAACAAAAGTAATGAATGGAAAACTGTTCGAGCGACTTTGTCAATAATCTTTACACCGAATACTCGCCAAGTGTTGCCAAAATTACAATCGATAATAGAGTTTCTGTCATTAAATCTGAGTGATCTGTGTAATAAAATAAGCCTCTGTAATATAATCGATAACTCTGCTGCGAAAAACAGTATAAAAAAGGCCGATTGTATAAGGAAAAGGAAAATGAAGTGTAAACAAAATTCAACCATCACAGTCGAACTGGAATTTTCCTGATTTTCCTCCAGTTCCTTTATCGAAACCAGAGCTTTTAAAATTAACCATAGTAATAACAATTGAGATGTATTACCTTACTCGACGATGAAGATGCCAGTTTCCACCTTGATCGAAAAAAGGTAATATCATTGTGTAATATTTTCCCACGCATATCGCGGGTCGTCACGTTCCTTGCATTGGCGTTACAACTCACGTGAAACCACCTGGTTTCAAACAACTGAACTGAAGAATCCGTGAAAATCTTAGCCAGGCAATAAATAATGGAAGTTGATATAAGTTATCATTATTAGTGAGCGAGGATGCGATGGTAGTTCCAGCTACATATATTTACAGCGTTTGAAGATTCACTCAAAACTCATGAGACATGAGCCCTTGAAATAAACATCATTATTTCCGGTTTTAAAAATTGGGCGTTGGTAAAGTAATGAATAGACTCATTCTACCTTGTACACCATTAACAACGGCTCCGTGCACAATTTTCACGTATTTTGTCTCAATCACGAAGCCCGTTTTGACCAGATTCTTGATAAACAGAAACTTGGTTTGGAAGGGGTTAAGGAGAATGAGGGATGAGCCCAGGACAACAAAAACCACAGTCACCCCACCGAAGGGCTTTAAAACTATGCGTAAATGCCTCACCCTAGGGACAATTCCAGATGTTCGTTTCCTTGAAAAAGCTTAAAATCGCCAGACAATGCACGGACAACTCAAGACATTCCTAATTCAAAATAAAGTAAACAGCAAAGAAAATTCAGTTAGCGACCAGAGTGTTTATCCAATATCGCGAACAGTAAGGAGTGATTGAAGATGTGTGTGCAGTTTAATGTAAAATCATTTACCATGCTCACGGACCTTTCGACAACATAAGTGTACCGATTGACGTAATATCAGTGGTAAAAAACGAACGCTTTTTACTGTAGGACGATGACGTCATCATACAAAAGGCGTCTTCACTCTGGCATCCTGAATTTCAAACCCTCAAAACCTAATTTTCCCTGCTCGTCAACTCAAAAAAGCCTCTGAGGACAAGTAGTGGTAATGTGCTTGTTAGTAAGACGTTCAACATAAGGAGACATTCATAATCAACTTGGTTAATGCATTGATAAAGGGAAACTTTCTCCTTTACCCTTAGGGACAGAGTTCAAAAGCGCAAAAGATTTTTAGCTCAGCTCTAGCATGTTTTGTCTAGCGATTTGCCTTGAGCTTCTCTAAATTTTCCAGATCAAACAAGCTGTACATGTGCCCATCGTACATAATCTTGTCTGGGCTCCCTTGAAAAATTGCACTTCATCAGAAGCCTTCGAGCTGATCCTCCGCCGCGACAACTTCATTATCTATTTTAATGGGTGGTTTTCTGGAACTATCCTATGGCTTGTCCTTTCTGGTCGTCACTATATTAGCGAGCACGTTTCAATTTCTCTCCAGCAAAAGTCTCCACCAGGAGCGTAGCCAGGATTTTCCAGGTGTGCGCACAATTTTCAAAACTTACCTTAACATCTTACTCAGTTCTCTCGAAACGTTTCCCCGTTACATTTGCTACTTCTGTTAACAATGTGAGGTTATGTGTGGAAGGAATGGCACTTGCAGTCGGTGAGAAAATTAGGTTAGACACTTTACCCTCAAGGACGACTCTCACGTTTTGCTGACACTTTCTACCTTAGAAGAGAAAAGTGAAGCTTTACTTTCCCCACTCCGTGTAAAAAATGTCGTTCGGCTGTTCAAACTACTTTTAGAAAACAACAAACTTCCCAATTTTAGTTTTTAATAACGGTATAAGGGTAGGAATCCAAATTGTTTTCAAATGTTCTTCAAAATGTACGCCATGCAAATGGAGTATACGTATTTCACTGATTTTAACACGATGATTGTGAAGTAGTGTCTAGTGAGTACGGGGGCTAATGCCCTATCGTAAAAATCTGAAATTGAAAACAAAAATCTTGTACAACCGAGTAGTACACATTTTTAGTTATTCTGTTGAGTTGTGAAAAATCGCAAATTTGTTTCTTCTTGAATGTGTTATACTCTCATCCATTGAGTGTTTTCAGTCTTTCCGATATGTAGGGTAGTCGCGCGGATAGCGGAAGTTAACGTAAATGATCGATTACCTGAAAAGAAGCTACGATCTTAACTTTCCACCTTCGGGTCTTTTCCCTAGCCATAATTTTTTCCCTCAAGGAATTTTTCTCTGTTTTACATAATAATTGGTCTTGCAAGCTGATCGATTTGAGAGCCTAGTCCTGTGCCGTATTCTGATGCGATCTACTTTATGTAGCTTTCCCCCCATCTAACAGCTCCTTACTGAACAAAAACGGTTTTAATTGAGTCTATTCAAAGAACTAGCCAATATTTTTCCAGCGGTAAGCACGATGTTCCAAATTCCCCCTAGTCCCCGTCTTAGACGCTTTCATGTGCACTGGTTAAATTTTCTTTTCATAAGCTATAATGCTCATAATCGCGCATGCTGATGTCTTTTATGCTTAAAAAATTAAAAAT